AAGTATCATTCTTTCCACAATAATATTAGGCAGTACAACTGTTTTCAACACTGATGATAAAAAAAAAAAAATTAGTAACAAATCAGCATATTAGAATGATTTCTGATTGATCATGTGACACAAAAGACTGCATATATTTAATACACATAAAACATTAAAATAGTAAAGAGTTATTTTTAAATTGTAAATTTATTTCACAATATTACAATATTTTTTTTTTATCAAATACTGTAAATGCAGAATAAGAGACTTTCAAAAACATAAAAAATCTTACAGACCCCAAACTTTAGAACAGTAGTGAACAGTAATGTCATAAAATTAATGTTTTAAGTCTGACATTATAAATATATATGCATTCAGAAACTTGAACATATAAATGGAAATGTGAAATAAAAACTGTCAAAATATACGCTCTGTCATGCAACAAACAACAAAGTTTAAAGCTGCTGTTCTCTCAAAATCTAAATCAAGAGTTACTCTCATTCATCATTTGAGCAGAACAACAAGTGGAGTATGTGCATTTAACAGGAAAAACAAAGAAAAAGAGTCTCTGGTAAGAAAAAAAAAAGGTAAAAAAGAAAAAGCACAAACACCAAAACAAAATATCAAAACAAAGTGTTTTAAGAGCTGGTAAACTTTTGATACCATCAGTTTCTCAAACATTAAATATGGTCTTAAATTACAGGCTGTTTTCAGTGAGGACTCTTCATTCACATTGTTATTTAGTCTAGGGCTCTTCGTCTGGGGATTTGGCCCTTTATGTTTTGTTTGGTTAAAAAATATGAGTTAATTTTCCAGCAGCTGATTTTCTAATTTCCTCATACTCAGAACAAAACAATTGCCATTATCTTGCCAAAAAAAAAAAGCTTATCCCAACATCATAGCAATATTGCACAGTATCTAATAGACTGAGTGTTTCATTCACTGCTAATGTTTTATCCACAGTCTCCAGAGATAGACAGCGGCAGATAGGCCCATCTGTCTGGATATGGTACAGTGCATCAATGTTTCATGATTCCTTTCCTGTCTGGTAATTTCTTGCAAACTCCATCTCCCAAAATGACACCACTTGTCTATTTTAAATATATCTTCTCCATTAATTAGCTTAACCCTGCCATGCAATTTAACATTACATGAAATTGCATCATAGATAATTCCATTACGACACAATAAATCACCGCTCACATATTACTTTTAGCCATTGCAATTAGCACATTGCGTTGCAATTGAAATGAAGTCATCGTTCTTTCTAACTAATAAGGTCGCCCGCATCCTCTGAAGATCCTCTGCCTGGCCTCATCTCACCAGACAAGAACATTTCTCAGGTATTGCTCCTGATGACAACCTCACTCACACACAATTAGAGATTTACCCACTGGAGGACTGGCATATTTACTTCTCATATCCCACTGTCCCTCCTCATATTGTATTAATATCCTCATCACCATATAATGAAAGTCATTTTTTCTATGCATTTATCATGACCTACTTAGCAGCATGTACATTTTTTATTTGCTGTGGCTCTGACATTACAGCAAGACATCCTTAATATCACTCTAATATATCTTACTGTACTAACTGTGAATTAATTTGAGGGGATATGCTGTATGAACAAACATTAGGCTAATTTATCTGTTTATTCAGAGTGAATAGAGAGTTGGTACAGTTTGTGTACTGGTACAACACTGCAGGACATATGAAAGCACCTCCAGTTATTAGAATATGACTAAAGTGCTTTCATCTGAAACAAGAGCTATGCTTACACAGGCATCAATTATCAAACAATACTCCTCGCTAACACAATAATCTGAAAAGGAAATCGCCAAAACATTTTCCAATTGCGTAAATATGGTCATATTTGTAATAAGAACCGAAACAAGATGCAGAGATTTTAGTTTTGTTACTCAAGTAGCCTACACATAATCTGAGGCTTTACCATAATCATTTTGGCACACCCTAGCACAGTTTATCTAAACGCCGCAATAGCCTATGCCTATACACTTAACATTTTGTATCTATTTGCAAAATGCAATTCTATAATCAATTAATAAATTACAAGAGTTTTTAGCTTTGTACTACTGTTCCTATTGTTAGCCTAGGCTACTACAATTCTCCACCGCAATGATTTAACTTATTTTTTATTTATTTAATTGAATTAAATTAATGAATTTTATTTAATTCAAGTGTAATTTATTGTAAATGTTATGCTACCCCTGGCTCATTGTTTCTTATTTTCCTGTTTTGTTGTTTACCATTGTTTAGGCCTACTTGTTATATTGTTGTTGTTGGTAACATATCTTGTGAGATGTATTCATCCATAGACTGTAAAAAAAAAATAAAGAAGTATTCATCTGTATTTACTTTTTTATATATGCTTAATAAAGGGGGTTACCTATGGCAGGCGTGGCCAGTTTATCTTTGAATGTGCGAGGCTTCCGGTTAGTGATGGGAAGTTCGGATCATTTTACCGACTCGGACCTTTGAGTCTCGTTCAGCAAAATGAACGAATCTTTTTTCGAGTCATTTCGTTCATTTTAGCAAAATACAATTAAAATGTTATGTGTTACTTCCCTAACACGTCTACTAACGCAAACGTTGATCACAGTGATGAACGAATGACTCGAAAAACCCGAAGACTTGAAACAGGTGAACTATTTGACTAATTCCAGTACAGAACCTATAGGATGTTGCGCATGCGCGACTGAACGAATCACTCCCCGAGACGACGCGTTCTTCCCGAGTCACATTAAAGATTAGTTCAAAATGAACGAATCGTTCAAGAACGACCCAACACTACTTCCGGTGTCATCCGCTTCCAGTTGTTTTCGTTGTACTGCTATTTCTTACCATATCATTTTAATTCATTGTCGTAATCATAAAAACATTAGTTTGAAATGCAAATAGTGTACTGTCTCTCACATTCATAGAAAAAGGCTTACTTCCGCGACAGGGCTGGTTGGACTCATCTTGTCTTATTAGCGCGTTATCAGTTTCTTTGTTCCGCGATGTTTTTTTTTTTTTCACTGCGTGAGAAAATAGACGTTTGGCGTGAGAACAATTCAGAGTCTCACGCAGAATGCTTAAAATGTGGCATCCTTGTTCCACGTTGCAAAATAATGTATCCAAAATAAAGATAATAGAAGAATACAAATTTTGAATAACGTGTAGGCCCTGTGTTAGTAAAAGATAATGTAGGCTACTTTTGAGACTCCACTTTTGTTTTGACTCTTTGGAGTGGGGCAGCAATAAAACTATAAAAAAAAATCTCCTAAAACAGTGCTTTGTAAAATTAACTGTAAGACAACCATAAAGAAACACTTTTGCAAGAAGTCTAAAACATTGTTCTAGCCAATGTGTTTTTTTTTTCAAACAATGGTGAGGCTCCCCCTAGTGGTGACTGCGTTTTAACAGGAGAGGAAATCGAGACTGTTCTCACAATCCTACAAGACTTTATTAATGGCATTGCATGCAATAAAAATACAAACACAAAAAATAAAAACAAACATCTTTAACAAAAAAACTGTCTGAATTTGTAATATATTGCATATGCTGAAGCATCTGAAATAAAATAGGCATGCTTATAATCCCTTTTCCAAAATGAAACATTCCTTCCTCGTTAATAAGATTAAAGTTCGCTAAATCAAAGCGAGGCGCTTCATGCAGCTGTAATAACTTTATGAAATGTTTTCTTTCACCTGTTCTTTCAACGCTGTCAATCCTAAAGCCTTAAATCTTGCTTTAATGTGGCACAGCTTGAGCACAAATCCATTACGATAAATTGCAAAGCAGTTTTAAATGGATAAAATGTTTTATCTGCACAAATATCCTTTTAAAACCACTGTCGATACACAAGCATTGCTCCATTTGTAATCCTCTTTCTCACACCAAATGCACTCTGTACATGTTCACTTTAAAATAAAATGTTGCGCATTTAAACATTTGTGCCTTAAGTATATGTTATTATATATTAAAATATTTTTTGGTTGCAATATTTGCATTTCAAATGACAGTCGTGTTGTCTTCTATGCCGACAAAGCTTTTTAATTTAAAAGGTCAGATATTAATAATATGGATCCCCAGTTCCCACCTCCACCAGTGCTGTTGTATTAGTCCTACACAAAAAGAGCTCTGGGATCACGGGAAGTTAACGCAGCATCTTGAGTTTGCGGTAAAACGACACGGCCATGAGGGCAGCAACGGTGCCCACAATGACGAGGACGGCCAGAGCGATGCCCAGTCCTACAGACGCCCCATTACCACTGTCCTTCTGTGCGCTGCTCACAGCTGTACAGGAATACAAGGGACAGCATGTTATTACCAAATTTTCTGGCATTCTTCTGTAAATGAATCACATTGATGAGGGAGGCTTACCTTCTTCCTTAGTGGTGAGAGCTGAAAGGAAGAACAATATGCAGTTATTATTTAGCTACATTTATGCGTCTTGAAATAACTTGGACTATATAAAATGCTTTTTTCGATTAGTATCATATATTATGAGAAGGATAGTGAGGTGGAAAGAGCCATACGGTTTTCTGCTTTAGTCCTAATAGGTCCTGAGGTGATGAGGGTGGTGTCTGAGAGGCCATCTTTAATTGTCGTCGTCTGTATATCCCGTCTCCTCCTCCTGTTGCATTGCTGATCATTGAAAACGGATGAGAGTTAAACAATAAAGCACGCTCATTCATTTAAGACCCCGACTCCTGTAGTCTGATAGGCCGGTTTGAAAAGCGTGTGGTACCTTGAACTGGGCGCAGGTGCTGGTTTCACAAAGCCTGGTGATGCAGTGGAGGTAGTAGGTGGAAATGGTCTGGTTCTGCTGCTCAATAAAGCGGAAGGCCGGGAAATTAAAGCGAGCCTTCTGACTGTTTCCGTTCTCCGACACGGTGGTAAACTGATCCTGAGAGCACCTTTAAGAAAAGAAGAGACGGAGAATTTTTAAGTATGACCAAATGACTTTCCATGGCTTTGTTGAGTTTATAAAATAATTCTGTAGAGACTCTAAAACAACAATTTCTAATTGATTAAATATTATTTAAATGATTATATTTTTATTTGAATTTAATTTAAATTAATGTTATTTAGTATGAATAAAAAAATAAAATAAATTAGACAACCAATTAATTTCCATTTCAATTGATGAAATATTCTTTCAAATGTTTTATTTTGTTATATTATGTATTTATTATTCTTAGTATAAATACAGTATATATAAAATAAATTAGATGACGAATTTCATGGCTTTGTGGCTCTGTTTTAAAAATAACCTTCTAGAGACTCAAAAACAACATTTCTTATTCCAATATATTATATTTTATTTTATTATATTAGATTAGTTGTATTAATTATATTACATTAATTTAATATAAATATAGAAATAAGTCAAATATAAATGAAATTATATTATATTATAAATGTTATTATTAAAATGACTTTCCTGACATTTCCCTTTTTTTTTAGACTTACGGGACAAAGAGGTTGAAAAAGGTTGAATTTGAGGGTAAGGCTGAGATGGAGGCATAGCATCGATCCAGCAGAACATGATACCTGTAGAGGACAGAATCGGTCATTTTCTACATTAACTAATGGAGGCATATCTTAGAAGAAGCATCAGCAAATGTTACTCACTGTGAAGTCAAGTTTGCTGCAATGACTTGCACGTATATTCTGGTTCTGAGCTCAACACCAAGAGCAGGGATAACGAGTGGAGTTGTGTAGTTTATATCCTAGAGACACAATTCAAATATGACGTTTTGGACACAGTATGACATAGCATAGAAAAAGCTATAGATTTTGGAAACTTTTTCCCTCGTTGTGTATTTACTTTGAAGAGCTGCATGCTTAAAGTGCTGATGAAGCTACCATTGTTGTCAATCACTGCAATGGAGGAGGATGACCTGAAGAGGGAGGCAAAGGTTAGAAATTTCAAATGATACACAGTTAGAGCCCATGGAAATAATTATTCACTACTCAGTTAAGAATGTCAACAAGCTGCACACTCTACACTAGTGTTCAAACTACTGTTTTGTTCATATTTAAAAAGTCTCTTATGCTCACCAAAGCTGCATTTATGTAATCAATAATACAGTAAAATAGTGACATTTTGAAATATGACAGCAATTTAAAATGATAATTTGATTAATTTTCGATAATAAAACGATAATTTTATTTATTCCTGTATTGGCAAAGCTTCATTACTCCAGTCTTCAGTGTCACATGATCCTTCAGAAGTCATTCTAATACACTGATTTGGTGCTCAAGAAATGTTTATTATTATTATCATCATCAGTGAAAACAGTTTTTGTGGAAATCGTGATACATTTTTCATTCAGGATTTTTTGATGACTAGAAAGTTCAAAAGAAAAGCATTTATTAGAAATCTTTTATAACAGTATGTCTTTACACTCACTTTTGACCAATTAAATTCATCCTCGTTGATTCAAAACGGTAAGCCAGAACATGGGCCAGTCCAAAAGTTCCTTAAAACTCTGACTAGACTGGGAGACTAAGACCAACCAGCTTAGGCTGGTTTAAGATTTTTTTTTTATTTCAGCAGAATTAATCTATTAAGAGCGTTAAAAGAGCTTACACATCAACTTGTGTATTGTTGATCAGGTACTCGAGAGGATATGCACAGGAGTAAAAATAACTCAGCTCGGCGTTGTAAGTCACTGTTCCTATTGTGGGGTCAAAAGATCTGATCACCCCACTGATGTTCACCGTCTGGATGTTAGAGAAGTCCGAGAAGATCCCTGTCCCTGGAGCGCTGGTGGTCTACAAATTAAGACAATGAAAAGAATTAGACTTGCAGAAAAAGGTTACAAAATACAGGGGAAATGGGGGGAACTAATTATCTTTTCTTTTTTTAGCGGTTTTTAAATACTTTTCAACATGCTGTCAATGAGTAACACTGACCCCTGTTGGTAACCTCGCTACTTTGCTGGCTGGAGGCACTTTTTAACAGGCCAGAGCGCAAGAATCGTTTGGTTTAAGCTGTTTTTCATTAGAGAATACTTATTCAGTGTGAATATAGTTTAAGATGCAGTAATACTCACGCGGAAGATGCTGCCGCAGGCGTCTAATTGTCTCAGCGGGAAGTTGAAGCGCACGACCGGAGGATTCGCGGTCGCATCCAGCGTTCCGCGACACAACGGATCATTTTTGATTTGATTCAGAACCAACAGACTCTCGTTATATCCAGTGTAAATGATCGGGCAAACCTGGATGGCCAAATTTATAGACTGGGTCCCGCAATACACTGCGATGTCGGTGTACGCTGTAACACAAAAACAAGCTCCCTGATGTCTTTCCTTTAAAACTGATTCATTGTTTTAGTTTTAAAAGCAGTTACAATAGGCTAATAATTGGAGACAAAACCATGCAGTACAATAGGCCTACCTGGACGCCTGAAGGAAGTCCCACACTCACTAGAAGTAAGAGCCAGTTGGCCTTTAACCAGTGCACCCAAAATCAAGAGGCTGAGGAGAACCATGTCAGCTATCTGCTCTTCATCAATGTCCAAAAATGACCGTTAAATAAGTCTCAGCACCCCAGAGAAAATCTCGAAGTTATCCTTGCTGTTAAAGATCCTTTATCTTCTCAAAGTCACTGTTGGATTAACTCTGACAGGCTTTAGTCTGTTATTTATATATGTATGTGTGTGTAGGAGACGTTAGAGAACTTCCGCAGGATTGGGCCAAAACAAGGTCATTTGCCATTCAGTATGGTTGCTTGAGTTCTCAAGAACAATTCACTTTTGTGGATAAGGTACCATTACCTTGAGGCAAACCTTGAAACCTTACACATCACCTTTAAAGTTAGACCATAAACAATGACCACTGTCTTTGTCATCTTGTACATCCTGAAACATATTAACATGTAATTTAATAAACTAAGTACAAACTCTATTGTAGAAGTACACAATATGTGGGAGGTCCCGTCTTCTGTTTGGACATCTATCGGTCTGACCTCTGACCTTCCATGCCTTTTAGAAGGTTTGTTACCTTAAAATCTTGATGGTCACTGCATGAAATCACACGGTTTGTACACACCTACTTTATTGATGTGATAATGATTGTCAAAGGGATTTGATGAAGGTGTTCATTGTGGGACACAAAAGATACAGTATTTTGAAAAATGTCTTAGTGTAAAATGCAATGGCATCTAAAACAACACTGGCCTCCACTGACTTTCATTACATTTTAAAAAAACAGTTGAAACATTAAACTGTTTCAAAGAAGAAAGAAAGTCATTCAGGTTTGGAATGACATGAGGATGAGTAAATGATGGCAAATTTTTGGGTGAACTATCCCTTTGGGAGTAACAACACTTTAGTAATTCTGAAGCTTTTCGAATAGTAAGGTTGCATGAAAATGCTAGAGTTTTGGATTCTTCCTTGCTTCTTATCAACAGCTAATGATGTGAAATCTGTGAAAATGAGGTACCACTTCACAGAAAACACCAATGGAATTGTAACATGAACCTGTCAGCTGAGCTACCTGGGAAGGACGACACTTTTTCTAATTAGGGTCAAATCAGAGTGTAGGGTGTTGGCCTTCCTCTATTGACAAGGACACAAAACCATGGAAAATGTTACAGACCTCATCATAATATGATGCTGGCCATGACGCATTCAGTTAAATCTCTTAGCAAAACAATGCTGTGGACTGTTACACACGCATAAAAAACAAAAGGGAGATAAACAATCACTGCATCAGATTTTTCTAGTTTTTGGCTCGCTGCAAGCCCTGCAGGAATCTGGGATTATATAGAGAAAGGATGCAGATTGTGAAGATCTACAGTGGCACTGTGAGAAATGAGTGGTTTGTGTCTGTGTTGTATTTTCAATGTCATTTCTTGTGGCTGAATAAAAAAGAGTGTGATTTGAGATAAATATGGTATATGTTGCAAATTATCTATAAAACTGATATAAATGCAGACAAATGAGCAATAAGTAGTGAAATAAGACATCGGTTTGAATAAATTTTTATATTAAAACACTTTAAAAATGTCCATTATGTGCAGCTGACAAAATCTGTTCGGGAAAAACATCAGATTGTACATATTTACAATTTTAATTAAAAAATATTATAATGGCACATCAATTTAATAGCACTATAAATGTGCATCTAAAAATATATTATAAAATATATTTATATTTTAAACTATATCATGCAAATTAAATTGTCTAGGTTAACAGCGTCTGTGTCATGCTGTTTATTACCATAGAAAATAACTGTGATTTGTCCCTCCATTTGTAAAAATAAACAAAAACTGTACTAAAAATCAATATTAATTGTGCAGTATTTTCTGTGGTATTCGATCCAATCTGTTGCTGCCAACTAATATTTAACTAGGAAGACTTTTTCATCACTTATTCTTCTCATCACACTTATATACACACAGTTTAAAAGATCAACAATAATTCATAAAGCAAATCATCTGCAATTTATATGTGAACAATCTACATTTAATTTGTGCTTTGCACTTCAAGACATATAGGATCACAGACCCTGATACAGTTAACAAACTGAGGTAATTTAAAAGGCACTATTAGATTCATATAGTTCAAAAGGGAAAACTCATTTGACAAAGCCGCCCAATGGCAATTTTGTGACATGCGAGAGCAGTGACCAAATATTGTTTGACGTATTTCAGTGCACGTCATGGTCATCTGAAGCTGGGGTTCCAGACCCCTCTCAGACTAGAAGGGCTGGGCTTCCTGAGCAGCCTGAGGGAGAGGATGAAGAGGCCCAGGCTCGTCACACCCAGCACAACCACACCTGATATCAAGGCACTGGTTACAGCATTCAGATGCTGGGAGGATCCGCTCGCTGCAGGGGCACAGAGAGGGGTGAATGGGGGTCAGCAGAGGTTGTGGGGATGAGTGGGGTTGAGTGGGATGGGGGTCCAAATCAGACATGGTTCTGTAAATGGGTACCACAGTTGTCATGGATCTCATTTGCAGAACTTGACACTAGTGTCCATTGTTTCAGTGTGAAAACAGAGCTGATGTCTCACAGAAAGGACATGGTGGGGTGGGGGGTGGGGTGGGGAGACTACTAATGAAAAACATTTAGCAGGCTACTTAAAGAAATATTTTACCAAGTTGTGAGTTGTTGGTTGGAGATTCATCTGCAGAAAACAAGCGAGATGTATTTTTAGAGGTTTTTGTGATAAATGGTTTCATGGTTTAATACATTCTACACGGAACTACATCAATTGCATCTCAAGCTTTAAGCAAATTCTACATTCGTACTCAATTCAAATGTATGTACAAATGAACAAAAGTACAAAAATAAAAATCGTACAAAAATAAGTCAATTTCAAATATATAAAATCTACTTAACATTACAAAGCTGGTGTTCCCAGCATGCACAGGCGCATGAATAATTAATAAGTTTGCCTGGGGGGGGGGGAGACTACTAATGAAAAACATTTAGCAGGCTACTTAAAGAAATATTTTACCAAGTTGTGAGTTGTTGGTTGGAGATTCATCTGCAGAAAACAAGCGAGATGTATTTTTAGAGGTTTTTGTGATAAATGGTTTCATGGTTTAATACATTCTACACGGAACTACATCAATTGCATCTCAAGCTTTAAGCAAATTCTACATTCGTACTCAATTCAAATGTATGTACAAATGAACAAAAGTACAAAAATAAAAATCGTACAAAAATAAGTCAATTTCAAATATATAAAATCTACTTAACATTACAAAGCTGGTGTTCCCAGCATGCACAGGCGCATGAATAATTAATAAGTTTGCCTGCTTTTAGGTTTGCTTTTACACCACGTTGTTATTGATTTAGCTGTCATGTTTAGAAAAAGAATCCATTGATCGTTACCATTATCATGCTTTGTGTACCAAATGTTGAGGCCTGTGAGATTGACTGCATCTCTTGTTTCTCAAAACATATATTTTAAAAACATATTATATATTATAAGGTGATGTTGTCTCACAGAAATTGAAACGTGCGTTATATGGCTGTTTGAAATATGACTATTTCACTTTTTTAAAGAAATGTATACTTTTCTGCATTAAATTGATCAAAATTGACTGTAAAAACAATTGTAACGTTACAAAAGATTTATTTATTTAAATGTATTTTTGATCAAATAAATGCAAAGCTTGGTTAACATAAGAGAGTTCTTTCAGAAACATTAAAGTCTTACAGACCCCTCGTTACTTTTGAACAATATTTATTGTTTATTTTAATGTAACTGTTTTATATTGTAAATATGTTAAATACTGTAAATTTTATTTTTAGGGTCATCACATCACATTTGTAATGTGAAATGTTTCAAGTTAGGTTTACTCATTGATTTTTTTTCAATACAATGTCATAAGAGTTAAGTAGATTTTACTTTTATACTGTTAATAATTCAATTTACTGAGGATGGCTCTCACCGCTCCTAGTGATTATGGGCCCTGCGGTTATGACGGCATCCCCTGAGGACGAACCTGATACAACATGTTCATCCACAGTGTCTCTCCTCCTGCGCTTTCCACAGATCTGCCATGAATGATATTACAGTCAGTGCTCTCGTTCAGTTACTGCACATAAAATATATTATCAACCAAAAAATACTTCAGCATTATGACTGTTTACCGGCATTAGTATTGCGCAGTCACCAACTCGACACAGCTTTGTAATACAGTGCAGAAACACGGTGGACATCTTTTGGTTCTTATGTTTCACAAAACGGAAAACTTCAAACGCAAAGCGGCCCATTTGGCTTTTTCCGTTCTCAAATACAGTTGTCTGTGGATCCTTGTAGCACCTATTTAAACCCCCACAAAAAATCAGATAAATTGATTATCTTCAGTCAGACACAACTGCAACCGTGGAAAAGGTCATAGCGTATCCCATCATTAGGGTTCCCAGAGGGGGTGGCGTAACAGTGATCCATCAGAACGTTCCACCTGTGGGGAAAACACAGTCATTTCTGCTAATAATGGGAATCAAATCTCTAATCTCAAAAAAAAACAAAACAAAAAAAACACCAACAGGGGCTTAGTTAACAGGGCCTCAAAAAAGTATTTACCCACGACTAGTAATGAGTTTATACTAGTAATGAATTTATAATGAGTTTAGAATATATATATAAACATATTTCTCTGTACGATATACCTCCTGTCCAGATTTGTAGCCTTAACTGCAGCAAACACACGAGTTTTCAAGGACAGGCCGGACATTGGTATAGAGATCAGCTGACTGAAGGTTGAGTCCTGTAAAATATGAAACAAAGAAAATTAGCTACTGTAATGGTGGTCTAAGTCATTCTTCATTGCAACATGCCATTTTTACATTTTAATTTATTTTTGAGTACTACATACACATTTGTGTACAAATCCACAATATGAAATTGATAATAATAGATCCTAAGAATAAATTATTTACAATCCAAATAAGTCAATAAGTCAAATTTCATTTGTAATTCTAAGTTAATTAATTTCTAATAATAATAATAATAATAATAATGAAGTTTAATGTAATACAATTTTAAGTATACAACCATTAACATTTTAAAATGATTAACAATATTCCTAAAATATAAATTTTTATGTATAGTTAGTTGCAAATTTTTTAAATAAA